GGGGTAGTATTACTTCTTGGGATAATGTGTTGGATGAGATGGAAGATGACATAATTTGGAGTTGGGAATAGCAAAGCCATGGTAAGCCACTGGGTGAATTTGGGAAAAACCTGTTCTATGAACCTCAAATGTTGCCAAGGAAACCCAGTCATAAATTCATCTTTGGGTTGACATTGACTGGAAACAATTTGAAGGCATGCATAAACCACAACCACAATAGACAGATGTCTTGAAAAATGTTTTCATCAATAATTCTCCACTTAGTTCCATCAAGAAAGAAGCTGAAACTTAGTGTGCAGAATTTGAGTGTGACTGCATAGAGAACATTCAATCTCTTCTACACCATCTTCGATTATGCAGGATAAACTGATTCAGCATCAAATCACAGCTCTTGTAGATTGTGATGCCATTGCTCTTCCAACATGTGTAATAAATAATAATAATATTAATAATAATAATAATAATAATAATAATATACTTTATTTATATTCCGTTCTATCTCCCCGAGGGAACTCAGGGTGGATTACAAAACACATATACAGCAAACATTAAATGCCATTAGTGTTGAGGCTCAGCGTCTTGGCAGTGAAACTACTACCGGTTGTAGGAGAAGGAGGAGTGATGCTGAGTCAGAGCTGGATCAGCGTCAGCTGAAGCGTATTCGAGATATTATTTTGGCACCTAGCGACACGGAAGATTTTGCAGGGTTTGGACCCGAGGATTTGGAGGAATTGGATTACCGGGGAGTAAAGCGGGTTGCCAGTGAGTCTGATAGTGTTGAAGAAACTATGAGTAAACGGCTTAAAGATATAGCTGACAATTCCAGTTCAGATGAACTGGAAGCCAGTAATGGGGAAATGGAGGAGGAATTGGACTGGACTCGGGTTAGGGAAATTCAGGACATATGTACACAGCCCACGTCTAGTGACGAGTTTGAGGGATTCCAAGATACATGGCAGGCAGGTACATCTTGGCAGGATCCTGGTTTGGATCAACGCTGGCAGAGATGGCGGAGTAACGAGCCAGCAGCTGAAGGAAATGACCCAGATGCTAGTGATGAGGATCAATCTAGCGATAGCGATTGCTAATAAAATGGGGGTTCTGGGATGTGTAGCTTTGCAGAGGACAAAGTGTTGCATCGTGTGTCTTGTTCTGCCTAACCTTCATTTGGGTCCTGGGAATCCAGCTATCTTGTCTTTGTGTACCTTGACTTCGGATTGGAACTACGTGAGTGACTTCGCCTTTCCCCTGCTTTTGGAACATCTCTGGACCACGCCATCTGCCTGCCGGACTTTGTTTGTTGCCTGTCTCCGTTATCGACCAAGGACTGTTTGACTCCGCTTTTGCCACTGTTTTTGTTTTTGCTCCAGCTTTCCTTTTTCCTGAGACTGAGTCCTGGGATAATTCGGTCACCTACGTACCCACTGCCATTACACCGACCTTGGAAGACAATCCTACTCAGACAACGAAGGATCGCCTAAGTAAGTAAGTAATCCAGTATCAGTCACGGGGCTGATAACGGATGATACACAGAGAAGACTGGGCAACTTGGAAGGTGCTGAACAGACTGCGCTCTGGCACCATGAGATGCAGAGCCAACCTTAAGAAATGGGGCCATGAAGTGGAGTCCACGACATACAAGTGTGGAGAAATGCAAACCACAGACCACTAACTACAATGCAGTCCAAGCCCTGCCACATGCACAATGGAGGACCTTCCCCCAGTGACACCGCAGGCACTTCAAGTGGTCAGTTTCCGGTCAAAGAAAATTTAGTACAATGCCAAGTTTTTAACTTTGTGTTTTTTTTTTCTATACATTATAACTGTATTCTCAATGTGTTTCTGACACGATAAATAAATAGAAGGCTCTCGATCTGCAGAGGCTTCTATGAAAACGAAGGGGAGGTGTTCCAAAGGGAGAAATCAGCAAAAATGACTTCCATCTGTCTTCCATTCATGAAAGCTTCTGTTGACTAAAAAGCCTTGCCTTTTGCATAGAGACAGCTTAATACCAACCCATACATGATAATGGTGTTCTCATATGGCTGACTAGCTGCACTTCTCTTGTTAAACACACTCCCCAAACTAAACACAGCTTTTGTCTCTGCACAGCATTTTAAATGGCCCTTAAGAATGGAAGAAAGGCCTCCGTGCGATTTGGTTCAGCATGCATGGCAAAGTGCCATTTTCAATAACAAAACCGAGAAAGCGTTCCACATTACCTCTTTGATTTAAATCACCCTTTTGCCAACAGTGTACTTTCAGGCAACGGTTTCTCTAATGTTTGATGAAAAATTTAAGAGGCATCGCATTCCTTTGCTTCGGCGTACACCTAAGTGAAGCTCTGCGTTTCGCTTCGAAAGAAAGATTGAGAAGGCAGACAAAATATAACATCTAATTTACCAATCAAGCTTCCCATCTCACTGTTAAAATAAAAGCCATTACCACAGGAGTTAAAATCTATTCATATTAACACACCGGCACAGTAATATTCTGATGCATAGAACTAGGGGAATAAGATCAAATGCTTCAGCATGATGGTTAAAGCCAGTCTCTTCCTATAAATGAAAGTGTGACTTTTTAGACTCCATATATCAGATATGTACACTTGAACCCCCAGTGGGTTAAACTTGGTAACCTTGGCTGAACTTGGTAACCGAAAGGTTGCAGGTTCGAATCCAGGAAGTCATCAGCTGGGGACCCTCCCTGGAGCACCAACTACCACTCTGGGCCAGAGTGAAGAGAAAGGGGGCCAGGGGACAGTTCCATCTTGTCTCTTGCATATATCATCTGCTGTGGACCCCTCTCCCCAGCACCAACTGCCGCTCTGGGCCAGAGTGAAGAGAGAGGGGGCCAGGAGACAGTTCCATCTTGTCTCC